CTTCCTTCTTTTTTCTTCCTCCCTCCCTCCTTTTTTCTCTTTCTTTCTTCCTTCCTTCCTTAAAACTGAATGCACATTTGCATCTTGCAAATATTCCTTCCTTCTTTTTTTCTTCCTCCCTCCCTCTCTACCTACCTCTTTCCTTCCTTTCTTATAAGGACCTTGCTACAGTTAACCATCAGGAAATATGATGTAGAGCCGAGTTAATAAAGTAATGTCAGACGGAAAGCTTCAATTGGGGAGTGTAGTTCAGATGCTGAGATGGGGCCATGAATCACAAAATGACACTCTAGCTCATGTTGGTTGCCCAGAGGAATTATCCCTTTGACTCGTAGGAAGCAAATGAATTGGTTTCCATGGGATATTTAGAATTACCTCTGGATCATCTGGCACTCACTGAATCTAACCCACAGGTATCTCTGGGGAAACTGCAAATCTTCCCGGTATAAGAGCATTCAAAAAGTAGCAGGGAAAATGGGAATAAATAACCAACTTGAAAATCCCGTGGACAACATTGGCTATGAAAAGGGCTTTTTTAATTAGCTGGGGAGGGGGAGAGGATGGGGAGAAGATTCTTGCTGTTGCAAATATAGGAATGAACATTACTCTCTGGGAAAGTATTAAATAATTTGCCATTAATTGCAATATCGTCAGCAAAATCTGAACAGCTGTTCTTGCAGCCCAGAGTAGAAGTGGGCCAAAGCAAACACTATCGAGGGACCCAAAGGATGGGAAGTACTTGAGATGACAGCTGGCCTCCGTGTCAGGTTTCCAGGTCATTTTTTACCCATCTTGCTCAGGTTCAGCCTTTTTTTTCACTCGGCTAATGAGATTTCTAGCCAACAAAGCTCTGAAGCCTTATCAGATCTCCAGCACTTCAGAGCAAACCAACCGTACTTCACGGTCCAAGATTATCATCAGGAAGAGAAACCCTCCTGTTTGCAGTTGTTACAGCATGCCCCAACGTCTTGCGTGAGGTGGCAAAGAAGATCAACTCGAATGAAGGCCGGGATAATGTTGCAGGATCCGATCTGGGTCGGTCATCGGAACCAGAGTATAATCTTCCTGTTCTGAGCCAGCCTTAGCAGAAGCAAGAAACAGACTCCTTGTCATGAAAATCCCCCATTAATTCTTGAGAATTAATGGCATTCAACCATCGAAAAGTCTAGGCAATAGTCCTTTAAGGAGTTAACTGCAGTAGAAACCTTATCAGTNGGGCTGCTACGCAAGTGATTTTCTCTGTGTGTGAGAGAGAGAGAACCAGGGGAAGCTTGTAATCCTTTTCATCCAAAGCCATTTTTTTTGGGGGGGGGGAGTATGAAGCTTGCAGAGGCCCCTCCCCTGCTCCGAAATAAAGAGTCGTCCTCCATTTCCAGCAGACTTTATTTAAGGAAAAATAAGATGCATAAATAGAGGATTGGCTTCAGAAGAGCCGGGGTGGGGGTGGGGGCTCCTGCCCCAAGGGGTTTAAGGCAATAGCGGGGGGGGGTGCCCTGCCCCCCCCCCCCTGATGCTTTGGGACGGCAGCAGCTGCTCCATTCCTGAGAAAGACTCCTTTTGTGAACTGGCAGGGGCACCCCCCCCCCAGGAGGACTTTCCTGGTCAGTCCAGGGAGGGCCAGTCGAAGTGCTCGAAGCAAAAGGTGACCCAGGGAGAGTGAAGGCTTGGGGGGGGCTAGTGGGCGGGGCGATGCGTGAGGTCCTGGATGCTGGTGCTCAGGTTCCGGGTGGGCTGCAGGAGGGAAAGAGGAGGGGTCCCTCAGGCCTGGCCTCAGCCACCTCCCTCTTCAGGCTGTGCTGGAGGAAGGGCTGATTTATGACCCACAACACATCCGCACCACCGCCTCCTCCTCCTTCCCGTGGGCTCTGCCCGGTCTGAGCCACAGGCGGAGCGAAGCGGATGATGGAGCGAGAGCTGCCTTGGCAGACGCTGCCCTCAGCCTCCTGCCCACCAGCCGTCCTGGCTTCCGCGAAGGGTTTTGGGGGGGGTTTCCACAAGCGGTTGGCCATTGCCTCCTCCCCAGGGCTAAGGAAGTGACTGGCCCAGGGTCAGTGCCTAGAACGGGGCTAGTCCATCTGCTTCCAGCCCCTGGACCGGACTGGCTCTCGGCTGAGTGGGAGCCGGACACGGCCCTACCTGAAGGTGCCTGGTGGCTCCGGTTGTGTGAACTCAGCCTCTCCTTCCCCTCTCCCGCATTGTTTGGGCCGGAGCCTCCGTAGGCCCCCTCCGGTCTGGCCAAGCCACCCATTAGCTGCCGGGGGGCTGGCAGGGCCCCCCCTCCGTTGCCCCTGTGCGCAGCCTGGGGCTCTGCTGCCGAGCGTGGTGGTCCTTCTGGGCCCCCAACTCACCTTTGGGGCTGAGACGGCTGCAGCCTCGTCCAAAGGCAGCGTGTTGAGGGAGGTGGCCCTGGTCATCCTGGGGAAGAGAGGCCCTGTGACGCTCGGCCTGGCTGAGCCTCCCCAAGCCCAGAGTTGGCCCAGAAGCTTCCGGGGAGTCCTGGCTCACCTGGGGGCTGCCGTGTCCTTGGGCTGCCCCACTGCTGGGCCCCGGAGCTTGGAGACCAGCTTCTCACTGCTGCGTCTGAGCGACTCCCGGAAGCGGGAAAAGGAGCTACTGCGCCTCATCCCCTCCTGGAGAGAAAGGGGGGGGTCACACACTCAACACCTGGGGGGCTTTTCCCCCCCCCCCAAAACTCTTGGGCCCGGGCGGGGGGGGGGGGGGGGGGGGGGGGGGGGGCGGGGGGGGGGGGGGGGGGGGGGGGGGGGGCTCTGAGCTGGGCCTGACAGCCA